AATGGGCTGGCATAACATGTGGCCGACGACACCAGAGGGTGACTAAGTTGATACTGGATCATCAAAAATTGACAGGCTCAATTTCGCCTCACATTGGAAATCTGAGCTTTCTTAGGGAACTGCGGTTGCGTAACAATAGCTTCACTCATCAAATTCCCCCTGAACTTGGCCATCTACGGAGACTACAAATATTGACACTACTCAATAATTCTATTGGTGGTGAAATTCCCGCCAATATATCTGCTTGCTCTAACCTTGTTGGCCTTGAGCTTTCTGGCAATAGTCTATCTAGGAAAATTCCAGTGGAGCTTGGTTCTCTGTCTAAGCTCGAGCGGTTGTACATTGGAAGAAACAATCTAACAGGTGGCCTTCCTTATACTTTTGGGAATCTGTCATCCCTTATTGGATTCTATGCAAGTTCCAATAATATCAATGGGAGTATACCTGAAGCCCTGGGGCGATTGACAAACTTAAACCTTCTTGCATTGGTGGATAACAAGTTGGTTGGTACTATTCCCTCCTCAATCTTTAATCTCTCTGCCATCACAACTTTTGATATATTAATGAACCAAGTTCAAGGGAGACTTCCCTTAGATCTTGGAATTTCTTTTCCAACTCTTCAATGGTTTTCCGTTGGAATGAACTTGTTTACTGGATCCATTCCTATTTCAATATCAAATGCAACCAACCTGTCTACCCTTGACTTGGGAACAAATAAATTTATTGGAAGAGTGCCTCCTTTGGGAATGATGCACAATCTTTGGTGGTTAAACTTTGAAGACAATCATCTTGGAACAGGGGAAGCTGGTGACTTGAATTTCCTTAGCTCATTGCCCAATGCCACCAATTTGAACTTTTTGGGGCTGAACTCCAACAACTTTGGAGGGGTGTTGCCAGAATCAATTGGCAATTTGTCCACTAATCTTGGTATCCTTTTTTTGGATAACAATAAAATAGGTGGGAGCATCCCAACCGAGATGGCGAATTTGGTCAATATGCAGTATTTGGACATGTCAGACAATCATTTCATCGGCAACATTCTTGCTGATATTGGGAAGCTACAAAAGTTACAAATTTTGGATCTCTCAGGTAATAAATTCTATGGGAAAATTCCATTGTCTTTGAAAAATTTGACTTCACTAGAGTATCTTTATTTAGAAGCAAATAATTTGCATGGCAACATTCCTCCAAGTCTGGGAAAATGCCCCCTTGTAGATCTGGCTCTTGGTGGAAACAATCTTAGTGGTACCATACCCAAACAAGTTTTAACTCTCTCATCATTATTGAACTTGTACCTACATGACAACCATTTGGTTGGGTCCATACAACTAGAAATTGGGAATTTAATAAATCATGAACAATTGGATGTTTCTAGGAATATGTTGTATGGAAAAATTCCAAGCACTCTTGGTAGTTGTGTAAAATTGAGATTTCTATATATACAGAGCAATAATTTCTGGGGAACTCTTCCTTCATCTTTAAGTTATTTGAGAGGTATTGAGGAATTAGATCTTTCTCACACTAATTTCTGAGGAAAAATCCCAGACTATTTAGGGGGCTTTGTCTTCTTACAAAAATTAGATCTATCATTCAATGATTTTGAGGGTACGGTACCAGAAATAGGCATATTTAAAAATCCAACGGCTATTTCTATTAGGGGAAACAACAAGCTTTGTGGTGGTATACCTAAACTACATTTGCACAGTTGCAACACCAAGGGATTCAAAAGGAAAAGATTTACACTCATCTTGAAAATAATAATCCCCACATTGTTTGGGCTTTTGGGACTAGTAATAGTGTTGTGTTTACTATATCTTTGTTGCTTTAGAAAGACAACAAAAGCACCCTCTTTGAGATTTTTAGGGAAGTCATATGTGAAATTGTCCTACCAAAGTCTACTTAAGGCAACTGATGGGTTCTCTCCAGCCAACATGATAGGCATGGGTAGTTTTGGTTCAGTCTACAAAGGAATTCTTGATCATGGTGAAAAAGTTGTTGCAGTGAAGGTACTAAACCTTCAATTTCGTGGAGCTTCCAAGAGTTTCGTTGCTGAGTGTGAGGCCTTGAGGCGCATCAGACATCGAAATCTTGTCAAGGTTTTCACAGCATGTTCAAGTGTTGACTATAATGGTAATGATTTCAAAGCTCTACCATACCCAAACAAGTTTTAACTCTCTCATCATTATTGAACTTGTACCTACATGACAACCATTTGGTTGGGTCCATACAACTAGAAATTGGGAATTTAATAAATCTTGAACAATTAGATGTTTCTAGGAATATGTTGTATGGAAAAATTCCAAGCACTCTTGGTAGTTGTGTTAAATTGAGATTTCTATATATACAGAGCAATAATTTCTGGGGAACTCTTCCTTCATCTTTAAGTTATTTGAGAGGTATTGAGGAATTAGATCTTTCTCACAATAATTTCTCAGGAAAAATCCCAGACTATTTAGGGGGCTTTGTCTTCTTACAAAAATTAGATCTATCATTCAATGATTTTGAGGGTACGGTACCAGAAATAGGCATATTTAAAAATGCAACGGCTATTTCTATCAGGGGAAACAACAAGCTTTGTGGTGGTATACCTAAACTACATTTGCACAGTTGCAATACCAAGGGATTCAAAAGGAAAAGATTTACACTCATCTTGAAAATAATAATCCCCACATTGTTTGGGTTTTTGGGACTAGTAATAGTGTTGTGTTTACTATATCTTTGTTGCTTTAGAAAGACAACAAAAGTACCCTCTTTGAGATTTTTAGGGAAGACACATGTGAAATTGTCCTACCAAAGTCTACTCAAGGCAACTGATGGGTTCTCTCCAGCAAACATGATAGGCATGGGTAGTTTTGGTTCAGTCTACAAAGGAATTCTTGATCACGGTGAAAAAATTGTTGCAGTGAAGGTACTAAACCTTCAATTCCGTGGAGCTTTCAAGAGTTTTGTTGCTGAGTGTGAGGCCTTGAGGCGCATCAGACATCGAAATCTTGTCAAGGTTTTCACAGCATGTTCAAGTGTTGACTATAATGGTAATGATTTCAAAGCTCTAGTTTACGAGTTCATGGTCAATGGTAGCCTAGAGGATTGGTTACATACAAATGAAAATGAAGATGAGGTGCATGTCGAATCAAGAAATTTAAACCTCCTACAAAGGTTAAATATTGCCATTGATGTTGCTTCTGCACTTGATTATCTTCACCATCATTGCTCGGAACCAATAGTTCACTGTGATTTGAAGCCAAGCAATGTTCTTCTGAATGATGAAATGATTGGACATGTAGGCGATTTTGGGTTAGCTAGATTCCTTCCAAAAGACACCGATAATTCTTCTACAACTCAATCAAGTTCCATTGGCTTAAGAGGGTCTGTTGGTTATGCTGCTCCAGGAAAATGTATCTCTTAGGCCCTTTTCTGATATTCTTTTTCACCTTCAATTTCCAACGTACTTTAGAGTCTAATTTGCATATCCATCGAGTATGCTCCTTCGATCAATGAAGTAAAGCAGATGGTTCTTTGGTTTTATTTCTCGCAACATCATTTGCCCTTCAAATGCATGAAAATCAATGTTTGGCAAATACTTTCCAATGTGTTATTTAAAAGTAAATTTTTTTTTTCTTTTCTGTTGCACATAATTTAGTCTGAAAAATATGAAACTCAAAGGAATGCAGGTTCTTAATTTCATTAGTTTCTTGCTTATAATATACAACCCAATACACAATCCCATTTTTTAGAGGATTTTCCATACATCTCCTGTCTTGTGGTCAACAAATCATAATCCATATAATTGTATTTACGTTTATTTTTGCCTTCAATGGAAATGTACCAATATTGAGAAATCTTAGTATTTTTCTTGGCGCAAAATGTGAAAGCATAACAGCGAACAATATCTAACTTTTGTTCATCTCCTACGTGTGCAGTCATAGGATAACATAAAGACAAGATTAGAAAATCCTCTTTTGCTAATTTCAATCCTCTTATCTACTTCTTTTACGTTAATAAGTTTGATGAATACAAACCTAATTGGATAAAGTTAAACTGTCACCCAAGCTTCAACTGCTTATTTCTTAAGAAGATATTGAACCATCAATTGTTTGGTTTCATAAATATCACTGGGAAACAATCAAACTTGTTTCAAGTTGGGCCTTTCTCGTGACAAAACAGACAAACCAAATATTGTTATCTCACCAAGAAGAGACATAATTCTTACCAATATTACTTTAAACAGTAAAGTTTTTTATGCTCTAAACTTGTTTTCTACAAAGAGTTATCTATAGAAGGTACATTACTATTGCTATTATTTGATATGCTTCTGGCCAAGCATCTTTAAAATTGTATTTACTTTGAATGATGCATCAATTGCAGAGTATGGTATGGGAAATGAGGTGACGACATTTGGCGATGTATACAGTTATGGTATCCTCTTATTGGAAATGTTTACGGGGAAGAGACCTACTGATAACATGTTTAATGATAGTCTGAGTCTCCATAACTTTGCTAAGATGGCTTTACCTAAACAAGTAGCGAGCATTGTTGATCCAACACTAATTCAACAAAGAGAAATTGGGGAGGGAAGCTCAATCACCGAAAACACTCAGAATCAGAGCTCTACTAGTAGTCATAAAATTTATGAGTGCTTGATTTCAATACTTAATATTGGAATCGCATGTTCACAAGAGCTACCAAGAGATAGACCAACCATTAATCATGTTGTTACTCAGTTGCTTGTGATCAAGAACAACTTTCTTGGAACTGATGGAGTTCATGGAGGAAGAAGAGCTAAAATTACAGTGTGATCATGAGTAGGTATGACCTTGTCACTTTCTTAGTAACTGAAGAATATACCTGCATTTATTACTGAAACTGTCGCAATTCTACACTAGGCCGACAAACTTTAGTTTGTCTTGTGGCATGTAAATCATAACACCTTAGATATGCTATACTTCATCCAAATGACCACATTCTTAAACATTGACATTTTGAAGGTGACAAAAAATCAGTTATGGTTCCTATGAAGCATGATGGTTTCATTACCGAATGGAAATTTTTTTTTTTTTTTGGTTTTTTATTTTCTTTCCATCAAAACTTAGGTTCTTCTGAAAACTTGAGAAAATAATTCAACTAGATTCACATTACAAATATGACTAAGAATAATACATAGGCAAAAATCAATCAATATTAATCAACCTCTATTGCCAAAATCTTATTCCACGATACTGGAATCTCAGCTCTCATAACTTCTGAGTTGCGAAGTTCTTTCCCCTATAATCCCCTCCAACTTAATCTGGAAAACAAAACTGGTTAGAAACTGGAAACATTTGAATGTCTTGACACAACTATGGTGGTTAGTGCACTTTGGCTATACACATAACGGAATTGATGGAAATGTAACTTCAAGTTTTTTAATCTGCATATGGCTAGGGTTGACAAATATACCAACTGGTGGAATATTGTGCAACTACTCTATTTTAATCCCTTGCAAAGCCTTAGAGGCTTATCTGTTCCTAAGGAGGGCAGCGTTGTTTAAATTGCACTAGTTGCCAAAAAAGAAAGACAAAAGGCAAACTGACATTTTGTTGCATGTATTATGGGTTACACTCATTCCATGAATTTTGCATTCAATTAAGCTCGAAACATGACACTAGATAAGGGCAAGTGCTGTCCTTTACTTCTGTGTTTTCTCTTTTTCCTATTATGATCTTATGAGTAATTGGTTTACAATAACATATTTGTATACCTTTCTTCAATAAGGTACCAAAAAAAACTGATTTTCAAGTTGCTTCAGCTTCTTTTTTGTGTCTTATTTTAATTGTTTATCATTTCTCATCATACTGTTTGAAGTTTTACTTAGTCGTTTTTCTCTTCTCCTAGGTACTTGAGGTCTGATTGGAGTTCAAGATCTTTGTCAACTCAGCAACTATGTTATATTATCCTATGCTTTAATTTCTTTTTGTTTTTTCCCCCCTTCTTCTATGTTTTTAGTTTGTCTCAAGCATGCACTTTTCTCATCTAAATGTACTTTAGGAAGGCTATGGCTTGCAATGGCTATCTATCCTGTTTTATACTCTAAAATAGGTTCATATGACTTGTAATGGTTCCAAACAAGCTGTTGCTGTAGAACTTATAATCTTTGTTGTGTTTGTTGCGAGGTATAAGAGAATGGGATTAGATTATATATTCTGGACAATCTTGAGGTCTAATTGGACATGAAGATATTGTCCACTCCACATGTTACATATATGATGCTGCAAACTATGTGATGCTGCAAATTATTGTTTTGGCCGCATGTTACATATATGATGATCCTTTAATTTCTTTTCTTTAATTTTTTTTATAAATTTTTTTAATGATTTTATGTTAGTCTCAAGCAGACATTCAACTTTTCTCATTTAAATGTACTTTTTAAGAAGGCTATGACTTGCAATGGCTATTCTGTCGTTTACTCTAAAACAGGTTCCATAGTTACAGATTTGACTTGCAATGGTCTAAACAAGACGTAACTGTAAAACTTCTTATAATCTATATATATATGTGGTGTGATATAAACTAAGATATGGTTTGTATGTATTATGTTTGCTTGTAATAATTAGAGAAATGTGAAGAATACTGTCTAAACTCAATTAGATGGGATGAAGAATATTTTATTTTGTTTTTCTTATGTTTTTGTTGTGTTGAAGCTGTTATAGACTTGATTGTTTGTTGTCTGTTTTTTTAGTTGGTAAGAGTAGTGAGTCTATTTGCAAGTTTCAGGACCTGTTGATGTATTCTTTTTAAACTCTCTACTTGTTTGAAGTTTATATATTTTGGGCCAAATAGCCTAGATTTCCTTTTCAAAATTTATTGAATTTATTAAATACTTACAGAATTGCATTCAAGTGCATTGATATTCAGGATATATATGATAAATCTGACATTACCTTGGTTTCTTACAGTTCATTTGGATTAAAAGGTTTGGTGACAAAAACGAGTGTTTTTAGTTACATTTTATATAACGAGTGTTTTTACGTAATTGCATAAATTTAATCAAAGCCAATTACACTGGTGCACAAGCAAATACCAATTATCTTACATCTACAGTTTAATGTCACCACACTAGTAATCCCATACATATTATCCTAGTCAACCTAATCTGATAATCAAACATAACTATAAGTTTAAAAGATTATAGAAATAAAAATTGCTTGCTATTATTAGGATTTGGTATGAAAACTTCCAGCTTTGGGCACTAGTACTTAGTTCCAATGAAAGGAAGTTTTGTTTACTCTCCAACAACAGATCTATTAACTTAAAAACTAGAGAAATCGATTAGGTTAATTACAAGAATCGTCCTCTGAAGTCTAAAAATCATTTTAGAATATATATTGGTAATTACTGTATATATATGTTCAAGTTCTAATTGTTTTTAATCTGAGTATACATTCATCTTTGTCAGCAGTTGGAATGGAATTCCTTCCATTTGCTCATTCTAACAAATAATTAATGATTACTTGTGGAAAAAGGGGAATGAGTTCAGACCATTTTATGCCACTAAGTTACCAAGTTCATCATAGATATGATTAAGTACTAAAATATATATAATAGTGCTTTTAACAATTGATACCTCAAGAGCCATTGTTTATGGGATAAAACCTTGACTTATGGCAACCTGTTGCCATCTTCTTTTTCTATTTGGATTATAATGAGAAAAGCTTCCAATCTAACTAAAATTTATTGACTGATGTCAACTTAAACGAAAATACTATTTATATAGAATTCTTTAACAAAATGGTATAGCAGTGACAGTTTTTTGCATATTTTAATAGAGATTTTTAATTTAAAATGATAAGTCACACTACAATCCTGTCATTTTAAATGCAAATTCTGTAAATTTTTCATGTTTGTATACAAATTGTGTAAACTTCTAGAAAAATCCCAAATTAAGTGGGTTGAGTGGGAGGACCATAAATGGGCAGTAGTGGATTTGGGGGCTTTAGGTATAATGACTCCAAACATTTGTCTTTCATTGGATATGAGATCATCTACACCATTCTCTGTCTTATATTTTTTAATTATTGATGTGACGATGTAGTAATATCAGATAATTATGAAATAGAAGATGGAAAAAAGGGAGACAGAAGATATGTACTACGTTAATTGTAGAGAATAAAGTTTGAGAATAACAAATAAGATGGTAAAACATTAGGAAAGAGGGCTGGTTGTTGTACTCACGAGGCACAGTAATTTGTTATGTGGGCTTGTGTGGGATTTTCTTGAGATTTTTTTAACGATTCAAATCGTCTAAATTGTAGGATTCTTTAAGTAAATTATTCATAAAAAAGATAAATTAATCGGACACTTATAGCCACATAACAACATCACATGTATTTAAAAAAAAAAAAAAAATTAAACTGCAAGTAGCGGTGGAAC